TGATCGGGGGCGTCACTCCCCAGCTTAACCAATCACTTCGCTCTATTCTCACAAGCCTATCATAGCGCTCTGCTAACCATTTTAAAATCTGCTCTCTCCCCTCTGACAGCTGTCATTTCAGGTGACTCGACGTAACCCTCCTCCACCCCTTTTCACTTCCTGTCCCTCTGAATCCAGGGTCAAGCTAAGCCCCTCCCCTTCAGACCGACCCCAACTATCCATTCACCACCAAGGTCAAGCTAAGCCCCTCCCCTTCAGACCGAACCCAACTATCCATTCACCACCACCAGGGTCAAGCTAAGCCCCTCCCCTTCAGACCGACCCCAACTATCCATTCACCACCAAGGTCAAGCTAAGCCCCTCCCCTTCAGACCAAACCCAACTATCCATTCACCACCACCAGGGTCAAGCTAAGCCCCTCCCCTTCAGACCGACCCCAACTATCCATTCACCACCACCAGGGTCAAGCTAAGCCCCTCCCCTTCAGACCGCCCCCAACTATCCATTCACCACCACCAGGGTCAAGCTAAGCCCCTCCCCTTCAGACCGACCCCAACTATCCATTCACCACCACCAGGGTCAAACTAAGCCACTCCCCTTCAGACCGAACCCAACGATCCATTCACCACCACCAGGGTCAAGCTAAGCCCCTCCCCTTCAGACCGACCCCAACTATCCATTCACCACCACCAGGGTCAAGCTAAGCCACTCCCCTTCAGACCGAACCCAACGATCCATTCACCACCACCAGGGTCAAGCTAAGCCCCTCCCCTTCAGACCGAACCCAACCATCCATTCACCACCACCAGGGTCAAGCTAAGCCCCTCCCCTTCAGACCGAACCCAACTATCCATTCACCACCACCAGGGTCAAGCTAAGCCCCTCCCCTTCAGACCGACCCAACTATCCATTCACCACCACCAGGGTCAAGCTAAGCCCCTCCCCTTCAGACCGAACCCAACCATCCATTCACCACCACCAGGGTCAAGCTAAGCCCCTCCCCTTCAGACCGACCCAACTATCCATTCACCACCACCAGGGTCAAGCTAAGCCCCTCCCCTTCACACCATTTGTGTATTCCTGGCAATAAATATGTATTCTTACATCAAAACCGTCTCTCCTGATTGAAATACGTTTGTTGAATAAGAGGAGTTGGAGTTTTTCTCCTTCTCTCCTCACACGTTCTCCAACGCTGAAACCTTAGTTACTCTTTATTTATTATAATCAACAAAACATGTACTTTATAATGCACTGCTCGTCAAGGGGGCGTTCTCAAGCTTAATTATTACATAGATCTGCTTATTGTACTTCCTCTATAGATATGTTTTATTAAATCCATATCTACTGTCAACCCACGACTGCCACAATTATCTGAGTGTGTGGACACTGTGATGTCACTACGTTTACTTTGGATACGAAATATATAACCTCAGAGGAAACTAGAATCTAATTAAGAGGACATTAATAACATCATCAGCTGTTTATCTGTGTTACATTTACTGCACACTGATCATTATATGACGTTCCACAGGCTGACACCATAAACTAATTTCCTGCAAGGTGTGTGCGTGTGTGTGTGTCTGTGTGTGTGTGTGTGTGTGTGTGTGTCTGTGTGTGTGTGCGTGCGTGTGTGTGTGTGTGCTGTGTGTGTGTGTGGTGTGTGTGCGTGCGTTGTTGTGTGTGTGTGTGTGTGTGGCTGTGTGTGTGTGTTGTGTGTGGTGTGTGTGTGTGTGGTGTGTCGTGGGGTGTGCTGTGTCTGTGTGTGTTGTGTGTGTGTGTGTGTGGTGTGTGCCGTGGTGTGTCGTGTGTGTGTGGATGTGTTTGTTGTGTCTGTGTCGTGTGTGTGTGTGATGGTGGTGTGCGTGGTCGTGCGTGTGTTGGTGTCTGCTGTGTGTGTGTGTGTGTGTGTGTGTGTGGTGTGGGTGTGGTGTGTGTGTCGTGTGTGTGTGTGTGTGGTGTCTGTGTGTGTGTGTGTGTGTGTGGTGTGTGTGTGTGTGTGTGTGTGGTGGTGCGTGTGTGTGTGTGTGGTGTGTGTCTGTGTGTGTGTGTGTGGTGTCTGTGTGTGTGGGTGTGTGTGTGGTGTGTGTGGTGTGTGTGTGTGTGTGTGTGTTGTGTGTCTGTGTGTGTGTGGTGTGTGTGTGTGTGTGTGTGTGTGTGTGTGTGTGGGTGTGTGTGTGCTTTGATCAGGGGGAGACGTGGACTCAGTTGACCTGTTCCTGGAAACACTTCACTGGAGGATTATGTAACACATATCGTGTGTGTGTGTGTGTGTGTGTGTGTGTGTGTGTGTGTGTGTGTGTGTGTGTGTGTGTGTGTGTGTGTGTGTGTGTGTGTGTGTGTGTGTGTGTGTGTGTGTGTGTGTGTGTGTGTGTCAGAGTATGACTTACTCAGAATTGATGTTGACTTTGCACTGATTGCTTTAAGGTAGATGTCACGTTCACTGTTTTTATCTCGAGGCGTTTTACTCAGAAAACAATTCAGACTGTAATCTGTTTTATTCTGTTCAAACATCAGAGGTCTAAAGTACACTTACTAAAGTACTGTACTTAAGTAGAATTTCTAGATACTTGTACTTTACTTGAGTATTTCCATGTTATGCTACTGTGTACTTCTACTCCTCTACAGTTCAGAGGTACATGGTGTACTTCTACTCCTCTACAGTTCAGAGGTACATGGTGTACTTCTACTCCACTACAGTTCAGAGGTACATGGTGTACTTCTACTCCTCTACAGTTCAGAGGTACATGGTGTACTTCTACTCCTCTACAGTTCAGAGGTACATGGTGTACTTCTACTCCTCTACAGTTCAGAGGTACATGGTGTACTTCTACTCCTCTACAGTTCAGAGGTACATGGTGTACTTCTACTCCCTCTATAGTTCAGAGGTACATGGTTTGTACTTCTACTCCACTACAGTTCAGAGGTACATGTTGTAATTCTACTCCACTACAGTTCAGAGGTACATGGTGTACTTCTACTCCCACTACAGTTCAGAGGTACATGGTGTACTTCTACTCCTCTACAGTTCAGAGGTACATGGTGTACTTCTACAGTTCAGAGGGTACATGGTGTACTTGTACTCCTCTTACAGTTCAGAGGTACCTGGTGGTACTTCTACTCCTCTACAGTTCAGAGGCACATGGTGTACTTGTACTCCACTACAGTTCAGAGGTACATGGTGTACTTCTACTTCACTACAGTTCAGAGGTACATGGAGTACTTCTACTCCACTACAGTTCAGAGGTACATGGTGTACTTCTACTCCTCTACAGTTCAGAGGTACATGGTGTACTTCTACTCCTCTACAGTTCAGAGGTACATGGTGTACTTGTACTCCTCTACAGTTCAGAGGTACATGGTGTACTTCTACTCCTCTACAGTTCAGAGGCACATGGTGTACTTGTACTCCACTACAGTTCAGAGGTACATGGTGTACTTCTACTCCTCTACAGTTCAGAGGTACATGGTGTACTTCTACTCCTCTACAGTTCAGAGGTACATGGTGTACTTCTACTCCTCTACAGTTCAGAGGTACATGGTGTACTTCTACTCCTCTACAGTTCAGAGGCACATGGTGTACTTGTACTCCACTACAGTTCAGAGGTACATGGTGTACTTCTACTCCACTACAGTTCAGAGGTACATGGTGTACTTCTACTCCACTACAGTTCAGAGGTACATGGTGTACTTTTACTCCACTACAGTTCAGAGGTACATGGTGTACTTCTACTCCTCTACAGTTCAGAGGTACATGGTGTACTTCTATTCCACTACAGTTCAGAGGTACATGGTGTACTTCTACTCCACTACAGTTCAGAGGTACATGGTGTACTTCTACTCCACTAGTTCAGAGGTACATGGTGTACTTCTACTCCTCTACAGTTCAGAGGTACATGGTGTACTTCTACTCCACTACAGTTCAGAGGTACATGGTGTACTTCTACTCCTCTACAGTTCAGAGGTACATGGTGTACTTCTACTCCACTAGTTCAGAGGTACATGGTGTACTTCTACTCCTCTACAGTTCAGAGGTACATGGTGTACTTCTACTCCACTACAGTTCAGAGGTACATGGTGTACTTCTACTCCTCTACAGTTCAGAGGTACATGGTGTACTTCTACTCCACTAGTTCAGAGGTACATGGTGTACTTCTACTCCACTACAGTTCAGAGGTACATGGTGTACTTCTACTCCACTACATGTATTAATACCTTTAGTTACTTCACAGATGTGGATGAATGATGTGAAATCTAACCAAGTGTTGAATCAGACTTTAGTTCCACCTGGAGTAAATCCACCAGCTACCCTGCAGTATACAAAGTACTTCAAACTAGCTGCACCTTCACCAGCTTTGAGAACACTTTCATGATCAATCATTATAAAACATATCATATATATTATTCTGAAATGGACCAATCTGCACAACGAATACTTTTACTGTCGCTACTTTCACTATATTTTGATGATAATACTTTTCTACTTTCACTTGAGGAACATTTTGAATGAGGACTTTTACTGTAACAGAGTATTCCTACACTCTGGTACTTCTACTTTTACTCAAGTACAAGACCTGAGTACTTCTACTTTTACTCAAGTACAAGATCTGAGTACTTCTACTTTTACTCAAGTACAAGATCTGAGTACTTCTACTTTTACTCAAGTACAAGATCTGAGTACTTCTACTTTTACTCAAGTACAAGATCTGAGTACTTCTACTTTTACTCAAATACAAGATCTGAGTACTTCTACTTTTACTCAAGTACAAGATCTGAGTACTTCTACTTTTACTCAAGTACAAGATCTGAGTACTTCTAATTTTACTCAAGAACAAGACCTGAGTACTTCTACTTTTACTCAAGAACAAGATCTGAGTACTTCTACTTTTACTCAAATACAAGACCTGAGGACCTTATAATATATATTATAATATATATTATAATATATATTATAATATAAGTACTTCTTAAACCAATGCATGTAAATAAAAAGACATGAGACATGTTTTCTGGACGTTTTCTTTAATCCTTCATCCGTCCGTTTGCACACCGCTCGACATCTCATCATCATCATCATCATTATTATTATCATTATAGTTAAGTGCATACAGTGTGTGTGTGTGTGTGTGTGTGTGTGTGTGTGTGTGTGTGTGTGTGTGTGTGTGTGTGTGTGTGAACATCCTCACAGCAGGTTACAGTCAAATAAGTTAAACACACCTCTCTCTCTCTCTCCTGTGAAACCAGGTAAATAACGCACGCTTCCTTCTTCAGGACATGAGACACAGCGGGGATCGAACCGGCTGATAACAGTGATTCAGACCTCTTTGAAACAGGGGCAGGAGGGTTAGTCCAAATCATTTAAAAGAGTTAAATATTAATACGAGAGGAATCTAAAAAGGGGCGTTTCTGACCCGTCACCTCAGGGTAGAGCAGCTCTCTCTCTGAGCACCAGAAGACCACCTGAACGTTTCTCTCAGATTTAGCTCGTTTTGAGTGAAATCACGGGCCATGTTGAAAGCAGAAAGTACCAGACGTGTGTCGTCATTAAAACAAAGCGTTACAATTAAATAAAAGTGATTTTGTTCTTCATTATTCTAGTTTTATGTTTGGTCATTTGTTCAATCGTCTGATTCGCCACCCTGACCTCTTCAGACTCTTTAAAAACAGCAATGACTAAACATGAAACGGTATATATTCAGCATGTGGCAGCCTAGCTTTAAACACGGGAACAAAGTCATAAATGGACATGAATCGATCATCCGTCGCTTCAGGAAGTGGCCGACTTCAGGTACGCCACCAGGTCCGTGCGCTCTCCCTTCTTCTTGATGCCGGCGAAGATCATTTTGGTGCCAGGAATGTACTTCTTAGGGTTCTCCAGGTACTCCATCAAGGTGGCGTCGCCCCAAATGATACCTGGGGAGGAGAGGGGGGGGGTAAAGACGGAGAGATGAGTCGAGAGAGGAACATCTGAGAGACCAGAGCATTAGGGCGAAGAGTACAAGGGTTACGAAGGAACTAAGGTGTCGATCAATCAATCAACAACCTGAGAGGAAATCTAAGAGACCAGAGCAAAGGCGAAGTTTATATAGATAGATACTTTATTAATCGCAATTTAAAAGCCTTAAGAAAGGGTTATTTAGGGTTTTTTTAGGGGGTTGTTTAAGGGTCATTTAGGAGTTACTTAAGGGTCATTTAGGAGTTACTTAAGGGTCATTTAGGAGTTACTTAAGGGTTATTTAGGAGTTACTTAAGGGTTATTTAGGAGTTACTTAAGGGTTATTTAGGAGTTACTTAAGGGTTATTTAGTGGATATTTAGGGGTCACTTAAGGGTTATTTAGGAGTTACTTAAGGGTTATTTAGTGGAAATTTAGGGGTCATTGAGGGGTTATTTAGGGGTTACTTAAGGGTTATTTAGGGGCCATTTAAGTGGTTGTTTAAGGGGTTATTTAGGGGTAATTGAGGGGTTACTTAAGGGGTTATCTAGGAGTTATCTACGGGTTATTTGGTGGTTATTTGGGGGTCATTGAGGGGTCCTCACCTTTGCTCTTGTTGGCGTCGGTGTAGGAGTATCCCACCCCCTGGCCGGTCTTGCGTCCGAACAGACCCCACAGGTTGGGGCCGACCTTATGTTTCCCCCCTTCCTCCACTGAGTGGCACTGAGCACATTTCTGCACAAACGCCTTCTTTCCCTTCGCTACGTCGCCCATCGTCAGCTGCACAAACACAAACAACAACAACAAGGCAAGGTTATTTATACAGCACCTTTCAACACAGGGCAAATCAAAGTGCTTTACAAACATAAAGACTTTAAGAGCATGGAACCCGTTGGGAAGCAAAGATAATCAAACATGGATAACAGCTACAGAGCAGAGTGAGATGTGAACACTTCAATTCAAAGCAGCGGCAAAAAGAAAGTGTTCAGCCTGGATTCAAAAGCAGTCAGAGTTCCAGATGTTTGGAAACATCCCTCACCAGATTCTCACATTCCTCGAGTCCAAGTCCTCCTGAGAAATTACAGTTATTCTAACCTGTAATATTCCTTTCACCCGTTTAGCTCCCCAGACACACTGTCCCTGTGTGACTGCCCGCTTTGCATCTCTACCCGCTTTGCATCTCTACCCGCTTTGCATCTCTGCCCGCTTTGCATCTCTACCCGCTTTGCATCTCTGCCCGCTTTGCATCTCTACCCGCTTTGCATCTCTACCCGCTTTGCATCTCTGCCCGCTTTGCATCTCTGCCCGCCTTGCATCTCTGCCCGCTTTGCATCTCTGCCCGCTTTGCATCTCTGCCCGCTTTGCATAGCACAAGCGCGAGGTGGTCCGCCATATTGGACAGCTACATACGGCAACCCAGATAGGACATTTGACACAGTGGCGTTTTGCAAAGCAGAACGACAACCTCAAAAAACCCGACAACATGAATCTGAGCGAGAGATGAGTTATTGTGATTACAGCGTGACTTCACTATTGTTTACTTTTAGGGGGTTAAAGAGCAACCTTACAAGTATGCTTAACCTTGCCTGAAAATTACAATTAAAAATGTTAATGCAGGATTTGATATGTTTTACAAGACATTCTCAGAATAAGTGAGAAATGGATTAAACTTCTACAGCTATCAAACTGAAGAATGATTTACTGTGAATTTATGCTAAAATCTATGGCATTAATAATTTATATCTAATTACATTAACTGTGAATATCTTTCATTTTATTTCAAATTAAATAAAATATGTTTCTATAGATATTTGAGACGTTTATGACGCAATGCAAATCGGTAGTCTCACCCCGTTTTCCTGTTACCCGAACCCATCTTTGACCTTTGACCCCTAACCCTTTTCAATTCCCAGAATGAGGATATGTAAAAAAACAATATGATTTATTATCGTCTCCACGTCCCCGAAAGAACCAAAATCTGACACGGTGTGAAATGTATTTTTTAGCTGTTCTGTCGGCATCTGTGCAAAATATTATATATATGCCGTTAATAACTGTGCAACATATACCTGGCTGCTATATCCTTAGAACTGCTACAGGATGTGTATTTTGTAAATTGTGTAATTCTTGTTGTTTATGCATGCTTCTTAGTTAGCATTAAGCTATCTTTGACTCTTTTCTGCTGTACCAATGTGTACGTTTTCCCTCTAATGAATATTAATACAGGCTTTTTTCTTTCACTATTTATAGGCAAATATGGGCGTTACGTGAAGCCCGAATTTCGAATTGATTGTGATTTATAAAGGGCAACCGGCGGCCATCGTCACAACCCCTCAAAGTGCACCCTGGGGGGGGGGGGGGGGGGCAGGAGCTCCATCAAGCCGTGTAGGACAGAGTGAATACACAGACTATCAGAGAGGCTGTGAGAAACCAATGAGAGTTTGGAACAGTGAACAAAGTGAATTCTAGTCGAGCTCAGCGATGGAACTACGATCAGTAGAAATGGCCACGGGACCTTTAAGTCAGGTGAATGACATAAAACCCAATATCACAAACCACGTGTGTCTAAATAAAACAGATTAAAATATGTGTCAAAGGTCATGAGAGCAGCTAAATACTTTATATTAATTTAGCTGCTTCTTTTCTATTCTTAGTCTCATTCTGTTTCTGCCCGGCGACACGTAGTGAAGGTCGTTTGAGGACAAAGATAAACGGCTACACCTGGATTTTATACTTTCTTTCCTCCGCAAACAAGACACTGAGGTCATTTCAGGGAAAGGTGACATGGATATAAACCGGAAACAGATCCAAATAAAAAGCCTCGGCTCACGTTACTGTATATGGAGTACAACAAAACGTAGCTTAAGATCTGCCAATGATACTGTGGAGGAAAGGCTGTAAAAACCTGCTAAACAAACATCTATTTCTGTGTGTGTGTGTGTGTGTGTGTGTGTGTGTGTATATACACCTTTAAATGACATTTGAGCTTTTAATTTGAAAAGCTTCCATGTATTGTAGGAGATAGTGAAGCCTATTTAAAGCAAGTGTGTCCACTGTAAAGGCTTCCCTGGTATTGGACACACACACACACACACACACACACACAAACAAGTCATGACTTCCCCTCCCAGCACTGAGGTCATTTCAGGGAAAGGTGACATGGATATAAACCGGAAACAGCTCCAAATAAAAGCCTCAGCTCGGGTTACATCACAAGAAAAGGGGTTGTGAAATAAGGGAGCAACGATTGATGTACTTAGCTTAAGATATACATGATGAACGGTGTCTAAAAGTGTGCAAAAAACAGCTTTTTTTAAAGAGTATGTGGGGGGTGTGTGTGTGTGTGTGTGTGTGTGTGTGTGTGTGTGTGTGTCCACTCCTTACACGACCAGTACCAGGGAAGCCTACAGTGAATACATAACCAGCCATTAGCTTCACTATCAGTGTCTCCTACATTAAATGGAGGCTTCCAGTGTGTAGCAGGGAGCGCTTTTCAACACACACACACACACACACACACACACACACACACACACACACACACACACACACACACACACACACACACACACACACACACACACACACACACACACACACACACACACACACACACACACACACACACACACACACACACACACACACCACACACACACACACACACACACACCACACACACACACACACACACACACACACACACACACACACACACACACACACACACACACACACACACACACACACACACACACACACACACACACACACACACACACACACACACACACACACACACACACACACACACACACACACACACACACACACACACACACACACACACACACACTGCTGTCCATGACCCACAAGAAAGAAAACCCGCAGTGAGGAGAACACGACTCACAACTGAGACAAAAAGGGATTGGTATCGCCAGTTGCTGAACGTTATCTAGGAGCAGTTACATACATGCAACCCTCCCGATTTCATTGCCCTCTCCCGGTTTCCTCCCGGGGTCATATTTCTCCCACATTTCTCCCGATTTCTGACAAAATCAGATTTACTCATGACTGTTTCCACTCTGACTTTAATACAGCTACACCATTGTTTGGTTTCCATGGTAACGCGTCTCTTTAGTAGCGCGCGCAACTGAAAGTCTGAGAGGGTGAGGCAGAGAGTCACAGAAAACAGAACAAGACTCGACAACTCGACCCTCTGCTCACTCCTTTCCTTATAACACAGGTCCAGCCCATATGCTCCATCAAGGATGCTGCTACAGGCCGCAAGGCAGTGCACTTACAACTACAATAAGCATGTTAATGTTAATCTAATACAGCTCCGGCGACCCCCCCCCCCCCCGCGGTGGTTTTGAAATGCTCCCGATTTCTGAGGTCTCAAGGTTGGCAAGTATGGTTACATATGATTAAATGGTATTCCCCCCATGTTATATCTCGCTCTTCTGCCTATCAGGTGTTAACGTCCAATCCCATTCCCTATAATACTACTATAAGATAAAGACATCGGTACCACAACTCAGATAGCCTTTTAATAATCTAACATCGCGAGCCACCCCTCACACACATTCTTCCCATCAAGGACACACACACATCATAAAGTTAAAAATAAGCTTCCATGCTCTTATTTCGAAACGTAGGCTTATTATTTGTCTTCTTATCCGCGCTTATACTTTGATATTACGGTAACCATCTTTATCCTAGCTGCTAGCAAGGTTAGGGTTCAAGGATGCTTCAATGTCGGCGTAGTTAACGAACACCTTTACTGCCAGGAGAAGACCCAAGGAAGGACATTCAATATAAATATTTAAAACAACGATTAAATCCACCATTTAATGAACCATTTGAGTAGAATCAAAGATGGATTTACGTAAAGAGAGTAGCCGGCGCGATGCACCAAAATGGGCGGCCGGTAGCTAACCGTTAGTTCTCAGCATCTCTTCCTCTTTGATCCCTTATATTATATTTTAGCATAATTTAAACACCAACACCCCCACCCTCAGTGTCTGTTTGATATACAAGCTGAGTATGAAGTGTGATAGTTTACCTTTTGGTGGAGATATGCGGGGATAAAGCAGGTTCTTCTCTCGGCTGATGGTTCCTCTCTGTCGGAGAGAAGGTCACTTCACTTTAGAGGCACCGGCTTTCGACGTCATCATCAGTCACGTGAGCGGCGATTACGTTAGAGATCCCTACGTCGTAGATTCATTCCGGGCTGCGTCCCATTTCTACAAACCAACGTTTCCTTACACGACTTTACATAATTAAACTCAATTCAATCGTTAGGTTATGATGTACACGGCACTAAAATAAACACTGATAAAACACTTATATCGACAATTTGAAATATAATGCTTAAATATTTCGTAATTCCCGTAAAGGTAAGCCAAGGACGCTAGGAAGGAGGCGATACATGTGTGTTGGGATGCGCTCACGCATTCCCAAGCAAGAGGCACCTGCTGGAGTATCCTTATAAGGGGATACATTGAAAAAGCTAAATACATTCAATTAATGGAATAAAAACACAAAAAAACGAGTAAAATACTTTTTATACATTATGAGATTAGGTGCAAGTCCACATAAAATAAATATATAATTAAGTAAGATGTGGTAAAGAGGAATAATTAATTTATAGCAGCAGAATACATTTCTTTTTGGGAATTTCAAACTTTTCCAATTATATTCCATTTTATAATGTTTGTGTTTCTGGTAACATCTTCATAAGGCTGACAAACATCTGGTTAGTGACACATTGGAATAATTGAGCTATTTTACACGTACATTATTATTTTATGTGAATAAGACAACAATTTATGGATTCACATTTGCTGTCAAATAACTTTAGAAAACTGTAGAATATAACTAACTCCCTATACGACAGTTTATATCATAATAACACAGATAAAGTATAGACTGCTTCAGTAAAAGGGTTAACATATACAATGTGGAGCAGACTACCAAGCATCTTAACAATAACATTTAAAAGCAAATAAACAAAAACAGGTCATGTTTTAAAGGTGACCTCGGACAGACGGTCAGGGGTCACACCCTGAAAGAAATGAATTCAAAATGTTTTCAGATAACTCAATAAAGTCTCATTTTATATTATTGTTAAAGGGTGACACTGAAAAGAAAGTTGATATCCATTGTACTCTGTCCTCAAAAGGGTCACTCGACACCACACACACACACACAGACGCACACACACACAGACGCAAGCATGCACACACACAGACGCACACACGCACGCACGCACACACACACACACACACACACACACACACACACACACACACACACACACACACACAGAGACACACACACACTCACCCACATAGATATTATTCCTGAGAAACCAACAGGTCACAAGTTTCTGACGCCATTCATCAGCTGACATGAGAGTTGACGTATTTAATCCAGCATATTAATACATATGTTTTAAATAGATTAAGATCAATTTGTAATACTTTATGTTCTAATTAATAGCTTTTTCCCAGTTGATAATCACTAAACCAATCAACATTGACTACATTTTTGATTTGAGTTATCTCTCTGACCCGGTGGCTGAAAGATCAAATGTTTTGACTTTTATATATTTTAGAAGAATCCAGAAAGTCACTTTTTTTGTCGACTATTTAAACGTTAAACCAGTGGTCGTAGTTTTCCTCTGCTCTACTGTGTTGGAAACTCTCTTATTTGATCAATTAAACAATATAGCACAAACAAATACTCGACTTTTATGCTTTTAAACCAAATTAAATGTTATGATTCTGTTTTGTTTAGTTTTTGTTGTGTGCTTTTTTGTGTTCTTTCCTGTCTCCCCCTCCCTTCTCTGTGTTCCTCTGCAGGGCTGGTGTGTGACAGGGAGTTGGCTGGCTCCTCCCAGCAGACGAGGCACACCTGTTTCCACTCACCTCTTCACCTGTAGATTTATAAGCCCGGTCCTCATGCCACTTCCCTGCAAGATAATTCCTCTGTGTTTCGACCCTCCGGTGTGTCTCGCTGCTCTCCTCGTCTTTTGGATTTATTGTGTGGATTTTTGCCTCCTGTCCCTGACGTCTCAGTGCCAGCCAACTTCCTGACTCCACTGCCGTATTTCTCTGTTCTTCTGCTTGAATAAAGCTTTTTGTTTTTTACCATCTCTCTCCAGTCTTTTGCTTTGGGGTCCAATATGCTATAGGCCTTAACATTAAAAGCATAAAAGTAATTTTTTTTACCGATTTTATATCGTATTTGACTGATATTGAAACTTAAATGTCTTGCCACCAATACTAAACTGTCAAATATGATTAGATTATAAAGACATTTCGAATTGTTCCGTTGTGACGAAAAGGGAGCTGAGCCCAGGGTCGGCGTCATGGGGGGTCATTCGCGGGCCATGCCCCCCCAAATGAGTCACTGTGCCCCCCCAACGCAGGGTGGGCAAGCCTTATTGCCACTTTGCCGTTTTTTTTTTTTTAATCATATAAGTTAAAACGTTTCCACCAAAAGTTTTTTGTGTGAAATACATCAGAAATAAAGAATACACATTTGTATTCTTTATTTATTCTTTATATGAAACACAGCCTGAGGTGTGCTCACTGCTGCTCTCTGATTGGTGTGTTGCTTGACCAATGACCCCGACTTTGTTTTGTTATCATTACGTGGCTGTGTGTTTAGATGAAAGCCCAGTGGCGATCTGTTCATCTGTTACACTGATTATACAGTAAAGCCATCGAAAATAATATGATATACAGTACAGTACAAGTACATGGGTCTCTGTGTTTCATTCAAGCTCGGCTCTCTGTGTGTGGCACGAGCGCAGTTTGTCAGTGCGCGAGCGGTAACGTGGAATATTGTTGTTAGCATCTGGTTAGCTAGCTATGCTAACGGATATAAAGAGCTGTTTCTACACCAAGGTGGAGGAGAGTCCTCTCCTGTCAGACTGAGAGGATCTTATAACCTCAGCTCAGTGAGGTAAAGGACTCTCAGTGTTTAGATAGTTCACTTTAGTGTAAGTTATCTCAGTGGGTCTCAAACGGTTTGGTGACCATTTATGTAAACAAGTATTTGCGAGGAATAGGCTACCTTTATATGATCATTATAGTTATTAAAGAATAAGAGAATAAATGAAAAACGGGTATGAAATACTATAGGACAGTAACACAAGAATACAGTTTAAAAGGGGAGTGATTAGTAAAATATCCATAAAGAAAAAGTAAATCTGTGTACAGTTCTGTTTCATATGGGTGTTGAGAGATGTATCCATAGATCTCTTAATGTTGCTTTCAAAGTGCACCAGATTGATGCTTTTAACTTCAATATTTAAAAAGATCTTCCCGGGGGAGCATGCCCCCGGACCCTCCTAGAGGAGGTTAGGTCCACCCCCCACCTAAAACATGTTCACATGGATAGGATACTAAATACATTTTCACACTTTTTATATGGTGGCCTATGTCCATATGTTTCTGTTTTGGTGGTCGTGCCACAACCGTGCATGTCTGCACAAGTCATAGGTGCGCTATAAAATAGCACTACACCCCTGCAATGTGTGTGAAAGACAATAGACTTTACAGCATGTTTTTTTAAATTGAAGTTGCGTTGGTGTTTGTGTGTTGGTTGTTGACGGCAGTATGTGCCCCCCCTTGGTAAATGATTGCCCCCCCATTTGATTTGTTCTAGAGCCGACCCTGGCTGAGCCAGAAGGCAAAGCTCTCTGTCTACCGGGCCATTTTGGTTCCTCCTCACCTATGGTCATGAAGGATGGGTCATGACCGAAAGAACGAGATCGCGGATACAAGCGGCCGAGATGGGTTTTCTCCGCAGGGTGGCTGGTGTCTCCCTTAGGGATAAGGTGAGAAGTTCGGTCATCAGGGAGGGACTCGGAGTTGAGCCGCTCCTCCTTCGCGTCGAAAGGTGTTAGGAGTTGAGGTGGTTCGGGCACCTAGTTAGGATGCCACCTGGGCGCCTCCCTAGGGAGGTGTTCCAGGCACGTCCAGCTGGGAAGAGACCAAGGGGTAGACCTAGGACCAGGTGGAGGGAGTATATCTCTTCGCTGGCCTGGGAGCGCCTTGGGATCCCCCAGTCAGAGCTGGTTGATGTCGCCAGGGAAAAGAAAGTTTGGGCTCTCTGCTGGAACTGCTACCCCCGAGACCCGACCACGGATAAGCGGAAGAAGATGGATGGATGGATGGAGACATTTCTAATTTATTACATTGTTTAAAAGACCCTTAAGCGTTGTTTTTTGTGTTAAATGTATTGTATATATATATTATTATTTCCCTTTAGAGGTGAAATATGTTATTTAATTCAATCATAGTACATTTTTTAAAGAAAAATACTTTTATTCTACACCTTGAAAAAAGCTTTGTCATTAAAAATGACTTATCTTTATAAAAATGTGATTTATATAACCTTAATCAGGTGTTATAAAAGCTTCCTGCCGCATCCTTGTGTAACAGAGTGCAGTTACACCCCAGGGCCTCTAGAGGGCGCTGTTCTGCTGTGAAGACGGCTTCATAACTGTGGGGTTTTACACCATCGCCTTTATCCAAATATTATATTTTATATTTATTTTATATCATATTTCTTGACTCATTATCCAAGTATGTAGGATTATGGTTGAAATGGCTTCACTGAATTTAAGTTCTGTATAATATAAGTAAACAAAGGCAGCCTTTCGTTTACCCATGGGGTTTGTTAAATCTCAAGAAGGTATCTGAGGCCTGTACTACGAAACCGGAAGTTCTCTTAGCGGCTAACTTCAGGGGAAACTCAGGCTTTCCGGTCCTACGAAGCTGGTTCTCTTTTTAGCGGCTAGATCTCCATGGTAACTGATGCTTAGCGGCTAACCTGCCCCGGAGCACGTTAGGTTGCAGACTAAGAGCTCAACTCAGTGAAAGCACCGCCTGCTGACCAATCAGAGCTCAGTGTGCGGAGTTTAAAGCGATCAAGTCATATTACAGGAGAAAGGAAATACAGAAAAGCTGCCGTCGCAGGAAAGACGGCCGGCAACAATCACCGACTGTGTGAACGTGAACATGAATAGAATATCAGCTCCATCTTCAGAGCAATCTGACTATTATAACATTAGCGTTAAGAAAGCTTACTTACATATCTGCCACAACATAAGTAACCGGATCAGAGTAACATTAAGTACAGTCCGCGGCATATCACTTCATAATGTATCATATATCTCCTGATCTGAGTCAGCTGAGCCGTATCTGGCCGTGCAACACTCACAGCGTCACAGACTGGATGCAGAAGTATTATTTTAAGCAACACATTAAGTTGAGGAAACACTGGAGACAAATGTAATTAAAGTCAAATCGTGTTTTAGACGGGCAGTGATATCATAAAGCTGTTAATGTACGCATTCAAACACTTGTTCTGTTCCCAGCTGTGTTCACCTTGCAGGTGCAGCTCTGTGGCTTTGATCCTGGATCAAGTGTTTAAGTCATGGATGTTTAAAGTTTAACTTCTTCATTTTTGACTAGTATTAAAGTTCACTTTTCATTCAGGAAGTATGACGCTGCGCTGTCAGTACGCTTCTCCATGTCTGTGATTGGTCGAATGCTCCAGATACCACCCCTCTCATGTGAACACCTAACTAGATAGGACACGGCTGGCTTGAGCGATCCACTTGATAACCAGCGTCGTAGTACAGTTTAGCGAGAGCGCGTATGTTTTGGATTATAGGCCAACCGGCTAACTCAAACATATCCAGGTTAGGTTGAACCAGCTTCGTAGTATAGGCCCCTGGTGTTTAAGAGGATAAACATTTCACTTTTGTTTTTCTTTATTCTGAGCAATATTTAATTAATTTAATTTAACATTTATTTTTCAGTTTTTATCTTATTTTATTCTTAGCAATTTTATTTTTTAACTTTAATTTGTATATATATATTTTATTTATTTATTTTTAGCTAATTTTAATTGTATTTGTATCTATCGATGTATTTTATTTGTATTCATTTGTGTGTCTTGTTTTATTTTTTTAACTAGTTTGTATTTTTAGTTGTATATATATTTTGTTTATATCTTGTTTTCATTTTTGAACTATTTTTTATTTGTATTTATATTTTCATTTTCTTAAAATGTTTTGCTGATTTTATTTATATTTGTCTCATGGTCCTCCCTTTCTTTTCCCATGATCTCCGCTCCGCACACTAAGGGGCGGTGATGCGCCTTTTACACCTTAAGTCCCGCCCGGCATTACACCACCAGAAGAAGAAGAAGACGACCGAGGAAGAAGTAGCGCGTCACTAGCCTAGCTTCCAGTTTGCATCAAAGATGGAGGACCTACCCGCCAAACAGGAGAACCTGGACGACCCGCCCAACAGCCGGCTGTTCGCCGTCACCAGCCGCTCCCTCACGGAGGAGCAGCTGCGGGAAAGCTTCGCTGTTTTCGGGGACGTTCAGGGTGTCTGGGTGGTGAAAGATAAACAGACAAAGGAGTCCAAAGGGATTTCTTACGTTAAATTCAGCAAGTCGTCACAGGCCTGCACCGCCATGGAGGAGATGCACGGGAAGGTCCTGGTGGAGGGAACAAAACCTATTAAGGTAAATCATATATATACTGTAATATTATATATATCATAATACACGGAGGAGAAGCAGATGAGGGAACTAAACCTATCAAGGTAAATAATACAATATAATATATATACTATAACATGTATATACTGTATATACATATAATACATGGAGGAGAGGCAGAGGAAGGTCCTGGTGGAGGGAACAAAACCTATTAAGGTAAATAATATATATACTGTAATATTATATATATCATAATACACGGAGGAGAAGCAGATGAGGGAACTAAACCTATCAAGGTAAATAATACAATATAATATATATACTATAACATGTATATACTGTATATACATGGAGGAGAAGCACGGGAAGGTTCTGGTGGATACTTTAATATCTTATATATACAATAATACATGGAGGAGTAGGGTACTAAACATATCGAGGTAACATAATATATATACTGTAATGTGTCTGTATCTGTATATATATACAATACATGGAGGAGAAGCACGGGAAGGTCCTGGTGGAGGGAACAAAACCTATTAAGGTAAATAATACAATATAATATACTTTAATATATCTTTATATATACAATAATACACGGAGGAGAAGCAGAGGAGGGCACTCAACATATCGAGGTAATATAATACTATAATAGACTGTATATACATATAATACATGGAGGAGAAGCACGGGATCAATAGAGTAAATCTAATCAGGAGTTAGTTTCCACACCTTTCACGCCTCATTAAACTATAATTACAGATGTTTTGTTCCTGAATGTTTAATGAACCTGTATTTATAAATGTTCTCCTCTCTTGTTCAGGTGTTTATCGCTCAGAGTCGCTCCTCAAACAGACACCGAGACGTGGAGGATGAAGAGCTGACCAGGATCTTCGTCATGATCCCCAAAACCTTCTCAGAGGAGGACCTGAAAGACACCTTCAAGGTAAACACTCACATCTTTCATGTCGAATATCACTTAAGACTACGATACACCATAATCAGGAAAAACTGACTTAGATTTGCTCTAAAACGTGCTCTATCGTGTCTTTCATTTTAACTTGATTCAAATTGTCTTATTTTACATTTTATGCTCTGAAATGTACTTATAGCATCAAGTATTGGTGTTTTTTCCACCTTGCTTGTGTGATCCCACATACCAGGTCTGTTTATTAGCTATAATTTATAGTGTACATAGGAGCTTTAGCCCAATACTAAATGTGGTGGTTTAACTCCCGGGGGAAGACTTGGCTGACTGTGTTTATAGATACTGTTTTGATGTTGTTGTGTTCAATGATGAATAGCTAGGCTTGTATTCAGGTGCGGAATAATACAATCCATTTATTTCCATAACAAACAATCCTTTGCATGAATCTACACTCGCAGTAATGCGGTCAAAAAACACCTTTACCAAAATGGGATCTTATCTTATCCTACCTTACCCTCACCTTATCTTATCCTAATCCCTGTGTTCATCTGCTTCTCTTCCAGGAGTACGGAGATATTGAGTACTGTGTGATCATCAAGAACAAGTTCACCGGGGAGAGTAAAGGCCTCGGATACGTCAGATACTACAAACCCTCCCAGGCTGCCTTCGCTATAGAAAACTGCGACAAAAGTAAAATGCTGCTCAGACATATTGACTGTAGTTTACACTTTAAAGGTCTCCTATCGGGCAAGATGCACTTTTTTAGGTCTTCTCACCATCACCATGTGTCCCCGGTGTCAGGAGACTCACAGAGTGTCAGGAAATAAAACCCTTCGTACCCACATCTCTAAAAACGGGGCTTTTGTAAAGCAACAGACCCAGAATCAGCACTTTAGTATCAGGGCTGGAACAGAGGGGAATGAGGGGATTTCTAAAATGCATGATCTGTTTGGTATTTTGAGAAAAACACATCATAGACATGTTTTTATAGATCTGTATATATCTGAGACCCATCATATATGCCTAAAATAGCAAGATAGGAGACCTTTAATACTTGCTTGACATTCAGTTAACTAAATATTTGACGTTACTAAATTAATACTTGATGTTTCTTCTTGCACTATTTTATCAGTTATATTGTGTTGCTCTGATGGAGGAGCCTGTGACCTCAGATGTTCATTGATATCCCTACAGCACACATGATTATAAAGTCTTGCACCTTGTTTTCAGGCTACAGGGCGATCCTGGCTGAGCCTCGCTCTAAAGCCAACGTGACGGAGGAATATTCTGGAGGGGCGCCCAGAGGAGATTACTCCGGAGGAGGAGGAGGGGGGGGAGGAGGAGGAGGAGGGGGAGGAGGAGGGGGAGGGGTCCAAGACTCCACAAACCAGTACGCCTTCCCTATGGGTAGGTACTGGTTTCACATTATGGAAGTCAATGCTTTTCTGAATGTGTTTTTGTTTGTTATCCTGTGGTTAACACAAGCTGAAGATTCTTTAACGGTTGCTAACGAGGGTCTAAATGAGACTACTAAACGTCATCACGCCCAACATTAGCCTCCTTTAGCTTAGCGGTGGTGACGTGAAGTCATGTGACCGTGCTGTAGTTCCTTTTATAGCCCAACATTAGCCTCCTTTAGCTTAGCGGTGGTGACGTGAAGTCATGTGACCGTGCTGTAGTTCCTTAATAACCCAACATTAGCCTCCTTTAGCTTAGCGGTGGTGACGTGAAGTCATGTGACCGTGCTATTGTTCCTTTATAGCCCAACATTAGCCACCTTTAGCTTAGCGGTGGTGACGTGAAGTCATGTGACCGTGCTGTAGTTCCTTTATAGCCCAACATTAGCCACCTTTAGCTTAGCGGTGGTGACGTGAAGTCATGTGACTGTGCTGTAGTTCCTTTATAGCCCAACATTAGCCTCCTTTAGCTTAGCGGTGGTGACGTGAAGTCATGTGACTGTGCTGTAGTTCCTTTATAGCCCAACATTAGCCTCCTTTAGCTTAGCGGTGGTGACGTGAAGTCATGTGACCGTGCTGTAGTTCCTTTATAGCCCAACATTAGCCACCTTTAGCTTAGCGGTGGTGACGTGAAGTCATGTGACTGTGCTGTAGTTCCTTTATAGCCCAACATTAGCCTCCTTTAGCTTAGCGGTGGTGACGTGAAGTCATGTGACTGTGCTGTAGTTCCTTTATAGCCCAACATTAGCCTCCTTTAGCTTAGCGGTGGTGACGTGAAGTCATGTGACTGTGCTGTAGTTCCTTTATAGCCCAACATTAGCCTCCTTTAGCTTAGCGGTGGTGATGTAAAGTCATGTGACTGTGCTGTAGTTCCTTTATAGCCCAACATTAGCCTCCTTTAGCTTAGCGGTGGTGACGTGAAGTCATGTGACCGTGCTGTAGTTCCTTTATAGCCCAACATTAGCCACCTTTAGCTTAGCGGTGGTGACGTGAAGTCATGTGACTGTGCTGTAGTTCCTTTATAGCCCAACATTAGCCTCCTTTAGCTTAGCGGTGGTGACGTGAAGTCATGTGACCGTGCTGTAGTTCCTTTATAGCCCAACATTAGCCACCTTTAGCTTAGCGGTGGTGACGTGAAGTCATGTGACTGTGCTGTAGTTCCTTTATAGCCCAACATTAGCCTCCTTTAGCTTAGCGGTGGTGACGTGAAGTCATGTGACTGTGCTGTAGTTCCTTTATAGCCCAACATTAGCCTCCTTTAGCTTAGCGGTGGTGATGTAAAGTCATGTGACCGTGCTGTAGTTCCTTTATAGCCCAACGTTAGCCTCCTTTAGCTTAGCGGTGGTGACGTGAAGTCATGTGACCGTGCTGTAGTTCCTTTATAGCCCAACATTAGCCTCCTTTAGCTTAGCGGTGGTGACGTGAAGTCATGTGACTGTGCTGTAGTTCCTTTATAGCCCAACATTAGCCTCCTTTAGCTTAGCGGTGGTGACGTGAAGTCATGTGACTGTGCTGTAGTTCCTTTATAGCCCAACATTAGCCTCCTTTAGCTTAGCGGTGGTGACGTGAAGTCATGTGACTGTGCTGTAGTTCCTTTATAGCCCAACATTAGCCTCCTTTAGCTTAGCGGTGGTGACGTGAAGTCATGTGACTGTGCTGTAGTTCCTTTATAGCCCAACATTAGCCTCCTTTAGCTTAGCGGTGGTGATGTAAAGTCATGTGACCGTGCTGTAGTTCCTTTATAGCCCAACGTTAGCCTTGTTTAGTGACGTCATGTGACCGTGCTGTTTCTCCCCTCTCTTCAGCACCAGAGCCCATCAATTATCAGCAGATTGATT